ATGCAAATGAGGAAGATTTATAGTTTGCCAAAAGAAGGACAAGACAACTCATTCAAATTCTATGTCGCAAACAAACAATTTTTTTTAGGACACATCACACACTTATTTTAAGTGATTTTGAAGCTAACCCTAATACGGTTGCTAAATGGAAGCACAATTTAACTTGCTCATGTAACCATTTTGCCAAGTACTCTTGGAAAATGTTTTGTTAGCGACCACAAGACATACCAGAAGGAGACACAATTGTTTAAAGTGCGTCTAAAATAGAAAGGCTATGATGTGGTACAATGTGGATCATATAAGCTTTGAAGAAATGCTCAAATATATGGTGTATACAAGAAGATGCCATTAAGGTGTATCTGGGGAAAAGAGCAATTAAGAAGACTACAGTATTATCTAGATGGATATTGATCATATAAGCATCGAAGAAAGGCTCAATTAATGGTGCATGCAAAAAGGCGTACAAGAAGTCGTGAAAGAGCATCGGCATGTAATAGGAAGTTAAAACTTGGAATTTAACGTACAAACCTAACATTAGAACTTCCTTTTTTGCACTGTAAGTACAGTATAATGTAACTGGAGAAAGTGACTACTCATTCAACTGCGGTAAAACAGAATGATGCACTCTAAAAAAATTACTTTGGAAAATTTCTGTTGGCCACAAGACATACAGGAGGAGATGCAATTAGTTAAATGTGCATCTAAAACTTTGCTCTGGTATTATTACAGTACATTGAACATATGAGCATTGAAGATACGCTCAACTAATGGTGTATGCAGACAACCTACAAGACGACGCAATTGTATCAGGTGCAACTGAAAGAAAGACTATTATCTTTATTGACGATCACTTAAGTATTGAAGAAAGGTTTAATTAAAACCTGGGATTTAACATACAAACCTAACATAAAAAATCCATTACTTTTGTAGTGTAATAGAACTGTAGAAAGTGACTGCCGAAGTCAACTGCACTAAAACAGAATTACACACAAATAATGTGTGCTAATTGTGTTATACATCAATTAGTAACAAAGTGATAAGAAGAGCAACTATTGTATTAACAATACAAGAAGATGAGAAGTATTGATGACAGAAGAGTAATATTAGTATTATTAATATTATTCTCCTGAAGACGATTGAAGCAACTCAACCGAAACGTCAAGACTTTCTCAAATGCAAGCATCAACATATGTTATTCCTTCGCCATGCAAACCTTCAAACAATATTAATATTATTACACCAGCTACATAATAATAATATTATAATTACATTATATGGTGGCAACTAAGTTACAGCATAATTGACACAATGCCTACCAGGTACCCACTTATACTCCTGGATGGAGAAAAGTCTTGCTTAAGGACACAAGCCAATGGACAGCGTAGCTTTCAAACTGCCAACATCGATGTTTAGAGACCAAATCACTTAGGCATGCGCCAACCGGCCTCACAGGATGAGTCCCAAGACTCGACTCAGGCTTCATTGGGTACCCTAGGTGTTATTCTAACTAAACAGGCTTGCACACCCCATTGTGCTCACAAAAATATATGCTGATTAATTCAGGGTTCTTTAATGTATAGGCCTTCGATTTAGCTGGTGAGGGCATCTAAAAGAGACGGACTATGACCTGGTACGACGTTGAATTAAGAGCCAGACAGTCGCAACTAATGGGTGTATACAGACGGCATACCAAACCATTCCCGCTGTGGCAACTACCTCTACCCGCATACCCGCAATTTTTGTTTCTATAACAAATTTAAAATGGCTGCATACGAATGGTTGTCTTGCTATTGTTAACATGTTTTACATGTTTTAATTACGGTCATGGAATGCACGTACATCAGTTTAGAAACATTTTTGTTAACTCGTCCTTCAAATTGAATACATTAGAAGGTATTCTCATCAACACTCTTGTGAGTCAAATGCAGTTGTTAGTGGTTGTAAACGACTATCCATTATCTCATTAAATTTCATCAAGATCTCACTCTCTTTCTGGAACATCTACAGGGAAAAAGTGTGATATCCTTATAGTCTCTAGCTTTGCTTTTGTAGCCAAAGAATCTACAAGCCATTACATGAAATTGTGTTAAAGTAAAGAAACACATGAACATATTTTCTTTTTTTTTCTCAAGTGTCCACTGATAGCGTGATTTGCTTTAATTAACATCTTATCACCAGACACACAATAATTTAAAATTTGCAATAATACTAACTTGTTTCCATTGTTGATGTGTTAAATGGTCATATCCAAGAAGATGACAAAGCCCATGTGTCACAAGAACCTGATAAAAAAGACAAACAACACAATGGCAGTCATTGACAACATTGACAGAGAATGTAATTAAGAGCAATGACTTCAGATTCAGTATTTTCAGTACTATAAAACTGTAATAGTGCTACTGTACTTAGTTTGATTAGAAGCTGTCCTACATTTAATGTAACAAATTATGTGTGTATATACAATAGTATAGTATGCTTACTGGCAAAACTTTCTGTATGTCACTGCCTTCCTTGCAACATTGTGAGTAAACATATGGCATACCAAGGAAAATATCACCTAGGTCAGAAAAGGACTCTATGCTGGGTAGTTGACCAGGAACAAGCTATCAAAAAAATTGCCAAAATATAAACATAGTAATTTATAGTACTTTGAGCTGGTGAAGCTTAATAATCATAAATTGTTAGCTACCCATGGGCCATATAATCAGTATGAATGAAAAGAAATCATAGTTTTTGTATGTCTGCTTTTTAAATGTAATTAATGTATTCTCATGTAATTCAGCGAAATGCTGCCGGTTGTGATCAAATAAAATTGAATTGAAATTGTGGTGGTGTCTAAGTTTGTTGAGAGCATTCTTTCTTAAACTCAATACTTAGGGTTAGTCAAAGGGAGATGCTGCTTGTCACACTTTGTGTTTCTATTATGTTAATCATCTTATTTATATGCTAATTACTTAATGCTTGGTTTGTGTTGTACGGTACTGGAATAAAAGGCAGTTGAATGAATGAACCCAAGGTGGAATATCGTGTTTCTTACATGGTGTCAGAATGGCGAAATTTACTGTATTGAATTAAGATGGA